TATTTTAGGCAGATTATATGGTTAAACTGTTGTTTGCATGTATAATTTGAGTCGCACGACGAGGTTTATATTGCAAACAATCGTTTATATTATTGTTATTTTGGTTTTGGAGTGATATATGTGGATATATTACCTGCCAATATTTTATATCGACCGAGCCTTTAGGCGAGGGTGATATTTTATCTTGGCAGGTAATATTATAATGTTAATAATTAAGTATGACAGTCTTCAGCCCATTAACAAGGCCATTATGAAAACACTTAATTATTGACAATTTTATTAATTAACTACACATAAACTTAAAAAAGTTAATTACTTAGTGAACAAAAAATAACTAATGTGAAATTCCGTTGTTGTGAGGTATTGCAAATGAGATTCATGTTTTGAGAATGTCTCGGAAACCTTCCTTGCAACAATTCAAAATGGCGAATTTTTTCAAAAAAGTATGGATGCTATTCTTTGCAAAAATCCTGCCTTTGAAACTTGACAATGCATACTTCGGTTCTACTTAACAGATTAGTAAAACATCTAATTGTCGATCCGAGAGTAACAAAAATGCACTGGTATTACGCGTTTTGATTATACCGATTTGACAAAATGGAAGCTATTAACATGCAACTTAGATAAACTGCAAACTGTATTTTAAAAATGTATAACTTCAAATTTGCGACATGTAGAAATGTAAACGATAGAACGTACACAACACGTTTATTGCTGTGCATCATGACGTTGAGAATGTCACTGCATCAGTTGACACTCTCAGGTTGACAACACCACACTTTCCTTTTACATTCTAACGCGATTAACATTTGTAAACGATTTTGCAACTTCCATATATGGAATTATCACGGAAATATGCGAAAATTAATAGGCGGATTTTCACGAAAGCAGAATATAAAGAGAGGTAACTCTTGCTGGTACAAACATATTTCAAATTATATAAAACTTTTATAAATTTCACATACATCAACTGCATTACAGTTGACTTTGATTATCCTCTGATTTTGTTAACACGCATTCTAGTACAGGATATTCAAGTAATGCAAAATCGGTTAAGATATAATGTAACAATGTAACAGTGTTTATACTGATAATGAGCATAATAATATGCAAAAACTAAAATTGGTGAATTAACATAAGAAAATGTTTCCTAACATAACGACACAAACCAGTTTTATATATAACGAAAAACGTTAAAACGGTAGTTTACAGACATATGTGTTTTACATTCAGCAAACAGTACAAGAATGCAATACATGAATGTCACTTTTGGCAACACGAATAAAGAGAACTTTAAGCCTGTGCCTACTTTCTTTAAAGGACTATATTGGCTTGTAAAAAACATTTTTTTACCAAATGTATAACCACGGAACTATTCAAAGTTTACTATCACTAATTCCGTAGTATAACCAAAAACTTGTGAATTTGTCCAATTTTAATGTTGAAATAAAATGTTGAAATAAATATTCAGTGTATCCTAGCATCTCTGTTTACCTCCATTGGGAGGTATTTTGAGTCATAGGATGTGATTTAGCCCTTTATTATTAAATATATGTAAGCTGACGTAGGTTAAGGTTTTCTTTTATGCATTGTACTGAATCAATAACAGCTCTAAACTCTTTGTATACATGCTGCCAAAAGTTGTTACCTAGACTTGTTGTCTATCTGATCAAAAGCAGAGAACTATTTACATGTACATGAAATACTACAAAGAAATGTTTATTAAGTTTTGTAAGTGATGGCTTTCTTAGAAATAAACAAGGTATACATAAATTGATAATCAACATACAAACCTTTAATTATTATTATTGAAAAAAATGTTAAAAATGGGAAAAATTATTATCTATGGTAAAAATAAAAAGTTATGTTCGAAAGGGTACATGCAACTTTGGTTTTTATTTTACTATTGTTAAAAGTTTGTTTTCTTGTCAAGGCATACGCTCGAATTAAGGTTACTTATGTAATAGTAAATGCTACTACTACTCGTAGAAAAAACAATAGCCAGAATTTAGTCTGTATTTGTATTTAGTCGTATCAAAATCTCTATCAGATGATGACTTGAAAATTTCAAAGCTTAGCTGTCAATGTTACTTATTCCTATGCAAACTAGAATCCTCTCAGTAAAATTTATTTGTCCTTGTAAATAGTTTTACCAATACTTTTTACTTCCTTAAAAATATTTAACCTCAGACAGTAAGTGACCTGGTGATTTTTTTCAGTTTCTTTTTCTAGGAAATCTTGTATCTACAACGTTTCAAACAATTATATGCCTATAATCATTTAAAGTCTGTTGATGTTGATTAAATAAAATCATAGAATAGAAATCATGCAAGTGAATTATGTTTGTTGAATAACTAAACACCTAAAAGGTGTGGTAAACGGATTTTTTTCTTGTTTTCATTTGTCGTTGAAGGTAAATACCGAAAATGAGGGGATAAATACGTTTATTTACGATGATGTAGTGGGCGGGAAAATGGGCGGAGTTTATTTTACTCCTATTGAAAAACGTCTAAAGCTGGATCCGAATCATGATGGTTTGACAATGTAAAGCTAAAAAAGTAACTTCTGTTTTGTCGGCGTATACACGAACAATGAGTATTTCGCATGTTACATGTATGATGAACACTTGGTATTGCTACCATCAGAAAAACAGTTAATATTTTATCGTTTAACAAAATGTATTTTCTTGAAATGCATGTTTACAATGTTAAATCGGCAAACTCAGTCCAATAATGCAACATTGGGGTTTACATACAAAGAAATACAATTGTATTTTGTCCGTTAACTAACTGTTCAACTCAGATCTCCAAGGCTTGATTTTTGGCAACGAATAGCCTCCATAAAAAAGCAGATTCAAAATGGCCGAGCTGGGGAGCCAATCAAAATTCTCAAATCTTCTAAGGTAGCGCACCACAGTAATGTAAGCCATAGCTTCGAATGGCCAGGGAGGATTTCTTGGATATAGTGAATATTCTGGATTTAAACGACTGGTTGTCTTGAAAATGCATTTTCAGCATGAAATTTGTTTTTGTGACATCTAATATGATCACTGGCAAATTCGAAAGCATGGCCAGAAATCACATGCTGTTGATTATATATGTGAAGGCCGCCATTTTTTGTAAACATTGCTTTTAAACAGCATGCACGGTAAAAAGAAGTCATTTTACAGGGGGGTACAAACTTTTAGCAGTAGCAAAAAATCTACAAGGTTGAGGACTAGTTTCTTTGTAATATTTTGCATGTATAGGGAGTTGCTAAAGCAGAAACGGTGTTCCTTTAGCCTGTATATTTGCTGATTTTTTTGCCAGAGGGACGAAATGTGTTGTTTTGGGTCTCGGGCCACTGTATATTTTGGGCTTCAACGGAATGAATTGCAACTTTTTTGACTGCCTGCCTATTGCAGATGGGATGATTTCTTTGTAGATTTGCAATCTTATGTCATATATATTCTCAACAAAAATGTGTTTTCTTTTTCCAGGTTGTGTAGTTTGGTATCAGAATTATTAGACGAATTGTTTGTAGGACATTGACGGCAGGAACTTGAAATTAACTGTGGAGTGCTACCTAATAACCGAGTTTTCTCATAATGGCCTTGTTTTATGTTCATAATGCCGTGCTGAACTTCATATTAGCCTTACATTTGAAATGAAAACGTGCTTAATATTGAAAAGTTAATAAATAAACCTCATATATCACTCTAAAACCAAAATAATAATGTTGTTACCCTTCCTCTGCCGAGTATGACGATTTTAAAATAAATCATTGCTGTTTCAAATGAAACGTCGAAATATGATTACCTTTTGGGTACCCCTTCACCACAACATGATACATGTATCAGATAAATACATGAAGTATTTGCTTTCGTACCTAACGAATGTAAACAAAAGAAAGGGAGTATTCTGTTGATGACACTTTTTTTAAATTAATATCAAGTTTTGACGATGTCATATTTGTTTTCAATACTGATGAGAAAATTTATCATTACTCTATTTTGATAATTATTTTTTTATTTGCAAGTTAAAAAGTGCTTGTATATCGGAATTTACACCGCGTAAAATCGAACCGTATGCGCATCGCCACACCGCATGTTATTAACAACGTGGGGTACCCAACGAGAAATTTAGTGTGGATATTACCCGTCTGGCTCGGTAATATCAATTTCCTTCGGCGGATCAATATCCAATCAAAAAAAAAGGGGGGGGATTTAGAAGGGTAATAAACGGCTGTATAACCTGTCAGGAATCTTTATAACGAATTCATAATGCTGCAAACTTCCTTTTTAGAGGTATAAATGCAATGTCTTTATAAATTGACAGAAGCTAAGCATATAAAGCTATAAAAAACGTCACGGTTAACGAATGAAAAACAACGTTACAAACGTACAATGTTATAATCAGTTATATGAATATGTATGTAATATCGGATCATGTATTTTACAGTTGCAAAAACCATTTAGATATAATTAGTTGATAGTTTGATGTAATGTCTGATACTAAATACCTTCATCATACTTATTAAGTTGTATAAGAGACCTTCAATTTTAGTCCAATTCACTTTAAACTTAATTAAAACCTATATCGATATGTAATATCGGATCATGTATTTTACAGTTGCAAAAACCATTTAAATATAATTGGTTGATAGTTTGATGTAATGTCTGATACTAAATACCTTCATCATACTTATTAAGTTGTATAAGAGACCTTCAATTTTAGTCCAATTCACTTTAAACTTAATTAAAACCTATATCATTTAAGGAAAATCAAATCACATTTTGCTATCACACTTCGGTTCAGTCATTACCGTTTTCTTTCATTTCTCAGCTTTATTTTTCAATATATTGTTTAGTCTTGCCCTTTAACCCAAAAGATCTCTTGTATCGAAATCATGTCAAGTTCATGCATGGAGTGGGAAGGAAGGTCGTGAACCACGTTTAAACAATTTGACTTTTAAATCATTTGAGGTGCTTTTACTACACTCATGTGAAACGTAACGTGAAAATGATCTGTGCTTATTATATAAATCTTTTATTTTTTGCATGCAAACTATATTCTGCTGTGGGAATAGATAGTGAACATGTTCGAGATATATATGTTAACAAATGGATTCAGCTGATAGGAGATGGTGAATCAATATCAGAAGAGGACTTGAGACAGTTCTACAAACGACAACTCCGGATTGAAGTTTCAGACGACAATTTAAAAGAGTGTCTACAAAAGATACCAGGAAATACCAGTGGGACCAATGAAACTTGTTTGACAGGAAAGGTATTGTTCTGAAAAAAAAATCCTTGAAAATTATTGATGATCTTAAGGGAGACTTATGTAATGAACGTATCTAAAACATTAAGCAATATAAATTATCAAAATATCAAATTATGCACAGTATTGGTAGAAAATAGTTATATTTGAATGGAGCATCTCTTGTAATTAGGTGACACAACTTACTTTACCTAATGACATCACGCAATAAAATATGATAAAACACCATATTAACATTTTGAAACTTTAATATTTATGTAAGGCTTAATTAAGTTTTTAAATTCATAACATAAAATGTTTAAATGTTTAATTTATAAAAATATATTACTAATCTACATAGATTTAATGGAAATGAAAGCAAAGTTGTTTATTTGTGATTTCAAAAAAGAAAATCAGATGAAATTCACAAGCAAATGCACACACAAGGTCACGCACATGAGCACACAGATGAAGCCAATATAACAATCATGACCTGTATGTAAACTTTAAAATCATACAAATTGACAGACAAGGATTTTGAACATCTAGTTTAAACAGCGGTCTCATTTTATTGAGGCAAATAGAAACACTTAACAGATTCAACCAGGCATAACTTGCTTATACATGAAAAAAGGCATCCCGAAAGGTCACTGGATATCTTATTGTTAGATTCTTAAATTGGTCGGGTTTATTATTTTCATTTGAGGTCAATGAAGGGTTACTAGGGAAACTGTTTACAGTATTTTCGATACACAAGTACCACGTGTGTTTTGGAGTCAATATGCAATGTCAGTTAATAACTGTATAATGCATTAATAAATGCAAGTAATTTTATTCTTATTAGCACAATAAATCTTATCATCTTTTCAACTGATTGAGAATTTAGATAGATTTAAAATATATTTTAAAAATCTCTATTGAAAAGAAAAGGACCGAACGTTTGTGTTAATTAGGAAATAGATATATCAATTTTGAATGCATTGTTGTAGAATGATGGACGGCTCGAGTTAAAATGCACAGGAATATAATCACGAAGGTCGATATGACTGAACGCTTAAAGATCCTGTATGTTTTGTGATTGATATTGTTACTGTCTGTATACCACACTTGCAAACAATTATATATGTATATAATTGTGCAAACAAAACAATTTTCAAGCATCAAAGGATATGTAAAATGTGTACTGCAACTATTTGTGCACATTATATTCAATCAATAAATTACATGCATTCATTTCTTATTGGAAAATTTGACTTAGAATTTATAGAAAATAAATTTCTAATTACCTCCCTTTATTTACATGAAATGTTAAATTGGGTAATTTCTTTAAAAATAATGCTTATTTGAACTTACACTATTGACAAATCTTAATTTGAGCATCATATTTATGAAATAAAACCACGAACAAAATGTATTTCAGGATCTTTAATTACAAAGCATTTGAACAATAAACCATGCATTAACATACTATTAAGCAAGAAAAATTAAAATCTATTTCCATTCTAACATATTTATCAAAATAAGAATTAATAAAAATATGTTAAACTACTTTGACCGTAGAATTAATTAAACTAACCATTCTTACTTGAATTATTGAAAAATACGGCTTTAAATTCCGGACAATAACTTTTTCTATATTCCAACAATTATCAAAAAATACATGATAATACATAATACTCATACAAATTCAAAATTAATTTAACATAAGACACCCACTTTTTCCACCCATTATTGATATCACTAGTACCAAGTATAAAATTAACTATTTTTAATAATATTGTCTGAGTTTACAAGTGTTTAACCTAAATTATTTTTACATATCTATGAACATTAAAGTATAATTAATATTTTTCACATTCTTCATATACAATAGTCTAACACGTATATATCTAATATTCTTCAACCTTTTACACATTTTTTAATGTATTCTTTCAAAGAAAAACAATATGTTTCATCTTATTCGATGTGAAATTTACACCTTATTTTCATAGCGAAATACCGTTTTGCGGTTTTGCCACTCATGATTGAAAGTGAATTTTGCTTAAGTTTATGATAATTGTACTATGTCTTTAAACAAAGTAACATACATATACCAATAAATAATAAATATGAAAGTATCTATTGCCTGTCAACAGTACTCTTTCAGAGGTATTACTTGAACACTTTTAATTTGTGCAATCTTGATATCAATAAAGAGACTGTCGATGCGCCTCAAATTCCGTACCGTCCAGCAGGGAGCTGTAGAGCATTACAGTTTAAACGAACACGGTAGCGAGGTACATCGGGTCTAAGACTTTTTATTTTAATTTTTACATTACTGTTTCGTTAAAAGTACAAGAAAGAAGTTTTTAAATTGTTATGATATGCTGCTAGACAAGCCTAGGCTTAAACACCGAAAGTCTTGAAAACATTTTCTTTTTTGTGAAGGAAGTCATGTTTCTTTTTAACAATTCATTTGATTCACTGATCGTACGGAGTAGCCACATTAAGTTATTCCATGGATTATTTAGAATAAAAAATGTGTATGCTACAGTTTTTATATAACCCTTACAGCAATAAGCCATAACCCTTACAGCAATAAGCCCATTTTGAAGTGTCTTCTTATAGACGAAAGATATATACTTTTTAAAAGGTTGGTCGTATTAGTTTTAAAAACAGAATGAATTACTGTATCAATATTGAAGCTCAAACTATGATGAAAATGTATAAATGTTTGCTTTATACATCTGCGGTATTATAATTCTTTATATAAACATATCTTGTTAAAACAGGAATAGCTTAACATGAAGAAATAAATGCAATACATGATTGTACTTATTTATGATATTTTTTTATCAAAAGATATTTACAATCAAATATAATCTGATATATTTATTTTAGATATAAATCGACATTTGATCTTAATCGTTACATAGTATTAAAAATACATCATTTTTATTTCGTCGTAAAAATTATTACAAAACATATAACAAAAAGTTATCTTTTCAATGAAAAATGATAACAATTGTCAGCTAAAAATATATTTTGTTAAACATTTATTTCAGTGTTTATCACCGGATCATGTTTACTCTTTGTCTGGTTTGTCAAATGCTACCACAGCTATCGAGGTATCAACTCTTTCCATGATGGTATTACATACAGTACAGAATAACAAATGTAAAAGGAAAATACTACCGCACTCTGATCCACACCGTTTTGAATCAGTTACTAAAGGTCAAAGTAAGTTCAATTTTAAAGTAATAAAACAAACTGTATCATGGTCCAATACATCAAGATTTTTGCGATTAAAAGAACCAGTTATATCTATGGTACACACAAAACCTTTTTAATAAAATAGATAACGACATTATCTTTCTAATCCTTTGTCATTAAGAATAAGATAGAAAAATAATAAAAAACTTCCATTACTAAGTATGTTAATTTTATTTCAGTATGGGGTTATGGCATTCTTAGTTGTACCATTATAGTATTGACAGCTCTTTTGGGATTCCTTGCTCTGCCATTTATTCGTGGTGTGAACTTTAAGAGAACACTTATTTTTATGGTAGGACTTGCTGTTGGGACATTAGCTGGAAGCAGCCTGTTATTCCTTATACCTGAGGTATTTGAATTATTTACACGAATTCTAAACCATCAATATATCCATTTATTCAATTTTCATCTTTTTTCACCTGATTCAATGATAACTCTATAGGTACAGTTAAGTTATGCAAAACTGCAGACCTTTAAATATGAAAGCTTGTGTGTGTGTGTGTGTGTGTGTTTGTGTGTGTGTGTGCGTGTGCGCGCGTGTGTGTGTGTGCGTGCGTGCGTGTTGGCGTGTGCTTGTGTGAGAGTTTTTTGTCCAGGAATTGTTGTCGCAGCACAACCTTTCCAACCTATCGCAAGATATACCTATACTCGTATGTTCATAAAACACGCCCACCAACGCTGTGAGACACAAAACGTTGGTACATAATCATATATTCGTCAGTTAATCAGAATTTGATTTCAGTACTGTAATAAACATTTCAGTCTTAAATTCATCACCCCGTCATCTAAAACATATTCATGTGAATAAAGTATTTTGTTTCTTTATGTATATATTTTAACGAAAAGAAGCAAACATTTTCTTATGTAATCATCACTTGACTAGGCTCAATCATACCGAGTCTGGAGCATTTTTAATTTTGCTGTTTTGGATTTCGGGTATTTCTTTCTCTCTATGGTTTCTCTATTGCTTGCAAGGTACAAATGGGGTTTTACAGACACTTAAGGCATTACGTGTAATAGTTTTGTTACTACTTTATATTTTTCAGGCATTAGAACTTACGGAACAGGAACTAAACAAACATAGCTATTTATGGAAATGTTTGGTTATGATCAGCGCTCTTTATTTCTTCTTTATAATTGAAAGACTATTGAAACATTTCTCGGAACTGAAAGAGGTAAAGGCATTGAAATGTATCAACACATTTATTTGCTTATATTGTTCTTGATTCAATAATTAACCTTACTTCTATTTTGGCTAGGAGTATATAAGTATTCAAAGCTCATTTATAATATAAAACTTAACTTGAACATAACTTGAGTAGTTTTGACTTTATTCATGATGTAAAGTTATTCTAATTGAATAATTCTTAAGGAAATTAAAAAATGTTTAACAATAGGCAAAAAGAGATAGTTAAAGTATTTCGTTATTCACAGATAAACAAAAAGGAAAAAGAACTCCGTCGTGAGATTCGAAGCGGTCGATTAGGATCATTAACTCCGGAGACAAAGTTTAGAGAACTCAGGCGTGTATCTATACAAAAACTGGGAGAAACATCAACATCTTCGTTGAATAAACTGACTGATTTCCAGGATCTTTCGACAATTTCTGAATCTTCTGAAAAGGTATTGTTTTAAAATTGTTTGCATAATACTATAAACGGGATATTTTGTAAGTTGTAATTTGTGCAATTTAAGTGAAAACTGTACGTCTCAGATGAAATAAGAAATAAACATACTATGATCTTGCTAATTGGTAAACATTTGCCCAATAAGCCTAATAAAGACACAGAAAAGGCAGAAAATGGCTAGAATAATCTACGTGTTATCGTAAAATGAATGTATTTGCATCTTTAAACGTACTAATATTTACAGTACATGACATAGCTTTATCGTCAAACTATGAAAATCTTGTCTAATTTGATCATTTTCTCCTCTACTTCACTCGTGCACACTTACCTTTAGATTATGCTTTGATAATTATTAAGCTCAGGTTAATAGTAAAGTGTTTAACTATCTTTTTCCATAACTTAAATAGATTATATTGTCTACTATGTAATTTATATTTTAGAACCAGCCAGATGATATCTCTGTCATTAAAGAAGAAGGAACAAAGGATCCGAAACGAGTTGCCCCAGTTGCATGGATGATCATATTTGGAGATGCATTACATAACTTTGTAGACGGTGTGTCTATCGGTGCGGCATTTACTGAAAGCATTCTCGGCGGATTATCTATATCCGTAGCAATATTGTGCGAGGAATTGCCCCATGAACTAGGTAATGTTATAAAACTCTTAACTGTAAAATCTATTATTTTTTGTTCTTTGATATTTTTACCTAAAATGTAATTTTTTGCTTGTGTTTTAAGCAGTTAATCAGTGATTGTTCTTAGGAATAAATTTATATACTTACATGTGGTAAAAAAGATCAATGTATTCTCGTTTATAAAATATATACATTTTAGAATGCAAATATTTCTCGTTTATATCTTTCTTTATGAAAGAAGGACAAAGGAGTACGTTTCGTTTAATGTCTTTCCTTATTGCAGCAAATTAATATATATCATAGTCATGATAGTATGAAAATATATTATAATATGCAGATGAAGCATGATCTTACTTTTCTACAGGAGATTTTGCAGTACTCCTACATGGAGGGATGTCAAAGAAAAAAGCAATTTTCTACAATTTTCTCTCAGCCTGTTCTATTTATGTGGGCTTGGTCATTGGAATAATTCTTGGTGAAAATGCAGAGACACATACATGGGTGTTCGCATTTGCTGGTGGCATGTTTCTATATATAGCACTTGCTGATATGGTGAATATTTCTAATACAATCTTTCAATCGTCATTTTATATCAAAAAATTATATCCAGAAAATGTTTAAAATAATTTTACCTCTTACATTAATATCATTCAAAATTTATAAGATACAGAAAATCTTTTGAGTTATACCATTCTGTCCAATGTTATATGCATGTTTCTTAACGTGTTTGTCCAATTGAAGGAACATATGAAAGAAACGTGGATGAAGACCCAACATGCCTCTTAATGATAAGTTCAGGCACGAGAAGGGTCATATGTAGAACCATCGGCTTTCTGTAAGCTAACTTGATAGCTTCCTCACAAGAATGAATCCAAAGTCCCTCACGGGAATCGAACCATCAACACTGAGGGCCAGCATCATAAATCAAATGTTATGTTAGCAAACATGTCGCATACATAATTAGGTTTATCAATTATATACACCTTGGTTTGTTAGCTGAATACATCATTGTCTCACACCCCGTGAAAATATAAAATCTGAATGATTTACTCTCTATTAAGATGCCGGAGATGTGCGCAGCTGGGGAACAAGAGGAAAACCAGGAGCTTATCGGGACTTGGATGATTTTCGTTTTGCAGAACCTAGGAATGGTAATGGGCTTTGGCATCATGCTTTTATTAGCTATATATGGCGGAAAGCTTGAGGACACGATCACAGGACACGGTTGACAAGACTGTTGAGAGGAGATTGATATAACTCTGTACATACAAACTAAATACAACATTTTAACGGGGATATTACTTCAATATCTTCTTTAATGTTTGAAATGCGTTGGATCCACTCTGCACCTTAACTGCTTTCCGACTGAAGGATTGTGTATATATGGTGACAGAATGAGAAATATGTATGTCATTAAAGGTTTGACTATATAGTGGTTATTTGAATTTATTTTAACAGTTTATTTCATAAGCAACTTGGTACTCTAGTTCATATTAAATAATTGTACATGTTGCAAAAGAGACTCCTGAATATTCATCCCATACAGTAAGAATATGTATTGCTGATGGAACCGGGGACACATGATAAAGTCATATCGTGACACTTAATCAAAAGGTTAACTGTTTTCAAGAAAATCCAATCTTTAAGTCACTGTATTCAATGCAGTTGATTTTGCACTTGTTTACAAAAGAATACAACAACAAACTCCAATTCAAATACAAAATACTACAGATGACCACCATACAACAACTCTACACTACGCCATGGTTTAAGCTTAAAAAAATGGCTCCGAACTGGTTATATCTATTAAGCAAATGCACTTGTATACTTAGAAAACCCAAGTCATTGTTGGAAACCTTATATTACGTGTAGAATTAACCGCTAGTACGACGTCATGGATTTTCAGCTAAGAAAATCAAGTTCCATATGAACTTCTCTTCTTAATACTGGATAAAAAAGGGTGTCACAATTCTGAAAAATCGCCACTCTTGATAGTAAAAAAACCAATGTCAAGTCTAATATTAAAATCTGTGGCAGTTGAATGGGAAAATTAGAAAAAAAAAACATTTAAAATTTAAAAACGAGATAAAATAGTAAAATGACCTTCAGAGGTATTTGCTCTGTAGATACAAATTTTAGTTTTGATAGTGAAAAAAGTGTTAATATCTTTGATAGTTTTTTTATCAATTAATTTTCATAATAATATATAAATTGTTCACTAGGGCAAATTAATCGTAGTAAAAGGGACATAACTATGCATATCTTTGATAAGTATATTTTAAAGATTATCTACTCTTGTGATATGGCGTTATGTACATTTTAATAAATAACAAGTAAACTTAATATAAAGAGAATACTTTTTTTATAGTTTTTAAGAAATAAGACCGTGGCATATTACCAGTGACCTTGACCTTTGACTTATGTGACCTTAAAATATGAATAAAGAGTAGATCTCTTCAATGTGTATCAACATATCAAGTTTTAATATTTTAGCGTAGTCAGTATTGAAGTTAATTAGCATAAAACAAAACTTAACAAAAAAGGTTAACCATCACCAACGACAACAAGCTGGTTTATTGAATACTACCTACTTCACCCGGTGCTAGGGGGCGTGAACAGTACAGTCAAATACCACTGCCGTCTTTGAACAGACTCAATCAAAGCCTTCAGCATTTCCAACTGCGACGTGTTAGGCTTTATTTAAGGATTCTATTTCAATTATCGATTACACTGAAATAGGAACGAACGGGTATAACTTAAGTTTTATCATAGTATATATCCTTTACCAATAATAGATCTTCCTCCCTTTTTCTTGGTGAATACATGTTTGAATTTATCTAACTTAAAGTTAGATGAAAATCATAAAGGTAACATTCATCTACAAGTTAAATGAAGCAAACATTTGCTTGGTGCAACTTATTGAATTTAGTTTAGTATATGCAAACATATTTAAAAGAATAAATGAAAAACATTGTATCTTCGTTTACATTGTTTGTTTCTATAACTATTTCATTTAATATGTAATTATGCTGTGCATCTTTTATGTTATCCTATTAATGACTTTTTCCATTTAAATAAATCATCATTACTTAACTTGTTTTACCTTTAAATAAACTACTTAAGATACACTTCAATATAACCAGCGAACGACAAAGAAACACATCACTTGGTGCGAAACAAGATTATGTTGTCAGCTAATTATTTTCATTTTTTGCTTTAGCCACATAAACAATACATAATCTTTGTTATAGTTTATATTGAATAGATTATTGTTTGAAACAACCATACACATGTTTTATATAAGTTAACTTTAAAGGAACTCCAGTGAAGTCTCTAAACCTTAAAACGTGGCATTTGAATGTCTCACCTATATCAAAAAGGGCACATAAAACGAGAAGATATGCACAAAAGGATAAATACTCAGAAGTAAATTTAAACCGTATTTAATGCGTTCCAGAATAGAAAAGGAAATTCCAGATGTCCTTTTTCCGGGGGTCGACCTACAGGCATTTTTTTCAGCAACAAATGTACATGCAAAGAGAGAGAGAGAGATAGAGAGAGTGTTGTCTGACATAGGGGAACAATTCCCCTATCTTATAAACCTCAGACGAAACGCATTGTACCTGTCCGTCTTGCGGATAATAGTCCTCTATCTTTTTATATGGGTTTATTTTCTAAAGATAATGATGAAAATTGTTGTTCGGAGTTATTTGATGAATACATAGAAGAATTTATTTCTTATACTTTTAAATGGGTAAGTAATGCTGTCATTTTGCAGTTTATTCTCCGGAAACAGTAAAAGTGTCTTCAAATTGTCAAATACTGTTCAATAAAATGAATATACAGGAAACGTTTTTCTCCATATTCCTCATGCGTTAGTATGGTCTGTGCTTTTAATTGTTATTTCATATGTAGTAGAAAATACTTTCATGATATATGGTTTACACCTGTTTCAATGAAGAAGATATGATCAATGACTAAATGGAGTGTAGTAAAATAACGCAAACATTTGGTTTTATGGGACAATTCGTTTCTTTATTTAGAATTTGCCATCATACATCATATTGTTATAATGAAAAAATATAGTAAATAGACAACAGAAATAAGAAGAAAAAAAACAGTTAAAAGCTATCTAAAACTGATATTAATATTTTATAATTTTTAATCTAGTAGTATCATATTATTGTCAATTAACTTCTTATTTATACAAAATACTTATTCTTTTAACTACAATGTAATCATTATTTACATTAATTATCACCTTTTTTAGAAAAATTAAACTAGTGTAAAAATATAATTTTTATTGTGATAAATGAAATAAAAAGTAACACCAATAAACAAATACTAATAATGATAATAATAATAATAATAATAATAATAATAATAATAATAATAATAATAATAATAATAATAATAATAAGAAGAAGAAGAAGAAGAAGAAGAAGAAAAGAATAAAACTTCACAGTTCATACTGACATCAAATCATTTTTTTTTCATTAAAAAAAAAACAAAACATTATGTTAATTTGCCCGGATGTTATTAAACTGAGAAAAAATAATTTCATGTCAGTTATTTTTAGTATAAAATTATACTTAAAGATAACTGATATTCACTTTTTTCTCATTTTAATACTATGCTTAGAAATCTTAACGAAAATATCAGATAACATTCTGCGCTTTAACAATATAACTGTTATATTTACCGGGATGTGTTTCCAAATTACCCATTACTTCAGTATGGGCAAGGAAAGGTTGTTTGAAGTGGGAAATAGGTGAAAGATAATCATCTTTGCTTTCTTTAAAAAAAATGAACATGTAATTTACACGTAAAATACATGTATAGCATTTAATTTAGCATATTATGATAGGAAGATTTATGATAACAATTGTTATTTATAGTTTATATACTGTTCAAAAAAACGGCTATTGCGATGATATTTGATTATGAGATATTACAATCTTTTGTGTATTAATGAATTTAGCTATGTAAGATGATGGACATATTATGTCTTATTTCTGAATAAAATATATATATATTGCATGTTAATTATTATATGTACATCAAACAATATCACAAAAGAGCGTCCTACATGAATAGTTGGCATTCTAAATATTAAGCGGTTGGTACTGTTTAAAACGATAAGATCCATAAATTGTGGAGAAAGAAACATATTTATTATAGTTATCTCTTGATTTGAAAGTTTCGTAAGCTTTAATATTTAAGACTGATTTATCTTATGTGTATATAGCTATAATCTTATAACATACATGCATCTTTTATAATATTTATACAAGTTCCAAAAGGCTTGTGATTTGTTTTCGCAAATCACTCTCTGATGGATTACTAAAAATGCGTTAATCGAGGCCATATCTCGTTTTGCTATTATTAAGCCATTTTGACCATTATTTGACACTAGTTTATACCGTACAGTCTACTCTTTATACTATCACTGCTTTCAAGCATATGTTAACGTAAATGTATAGTCACATTAAAAGCAAAAGCTTTTTTGTTCATAAAGATATAGATATTTCTATTTATTAATGTCGTTTTTTATTTCAAAGTTACAAAATATTTGTGAATTATTATTAATACCTTAACTAATCATAAACTTTCAACAACAAAGTATTTTATCTTCCAGACTAATTGACGCGTTTGGCTAAATACAGTAGCTTTAGACGGCAAAATATAGCGTTACGTTAATTTTATACATTTAACATTATAGGTATTGTGAACATATATAACAACATGTAATACTTACAGTTACATTTATCTAATATTAACTTTTGCTTTAATTTAACAAATTAACTAATTTGGATTTAATTTAAATAACTTTGGTATAATGTCCGACCCTGCACAATCGGTTGTCAAACGTCAGTAGGCATAAAGTAAAAATCACTTGATCATGCAAAATAAAATTCGATGCTACATAATGTAATTTATAGGTACGTATGATATTTTAATTAATTAATTTTACATGCATTTTCAATTTTCCCAAATAAAGATTGTGTGAGCATTTTGTTTTATATTATTCGTCTTAGAAACACTGTTCAAAACAGCTCTTACCGCGGTGATATAATTGGTGTTGTTCTATTTCGTGTCTTGATATCAGTTTAAGCCAGTTTCATTTCTACTTATATGAATATGGTATATTTAGAGTATCTTATAATCTTGAACACTTTTGAATTGAACCATAAAGTATATGTAAAATTGTATAATTTCATCTTGATAGATCGAAATGAAATGTTGCATCTAAATTCAAGGAAAAAAGCCTAATAAAACGTAATTGCGAATACGGTATATTTTTGGTATCGGAAAGTCCTCATAGATTTTTCAAATTATGATGCTGTACCAACATTGATACAAATACATGTCACAATACAGGATGTCACTTGATCAAGGTAAA